TAGCTTGTGTTGATTTGTCAGCGTTAGTTAGCCCTGTTCTGATTCTTGTCGTGTTGGCACGGTAACTGGAAGACAAAACCCACCTAATGAAACACCAGAGAGGTGGTTAATGCTTATGGTTACCGCCTTGCATTAGCCTAAACGTAGTGGAAGTGCAATAAAATATAAACTGCCTTGCTATCAATATTTTATTTTATTACAAGGAATATAAACAGAGATGCAATCCTGATGCTGAGGTGCAGTTTACAGAATGAAATTCCTGGAAAAACAAAAAAGGCACTAGAAAAAGAGTATATGTTATGCAGATGTATACCTTGGTAGAAATTAAATAGAAATTTAATTGCCTGATAACTAAGTGCCAATCTTCTGTCTTTTATACCTATTTATCCCTAGATTTTGTAGGTTGAGCTCTGTTAAGGAAATCCTGAACTCTCATGCTTTTTCTTTTTTCTCCTCTCCTCCCTCTTCTTTCTCTATTTTTCTCTTTTTCTTTTTCTTTCTTTTTCCTCTTAAAATAGGCCTCTGGTACCATCCTCTGATCGTTTAAGGGAGAAAAAGGTTGTCTTCATGTTAGAAGTGCTTGGTCTACCTTGGATTTACAGAACACATTGATAGAAATCCTTAGGGTAAATTGATCAAGCTGTGCCAAATTCTGCAGCTAGCAGCACATGAGAACGGACTTACCAGCAGAATCATTCAACAGAGGGCTATTTGTGGATAATAGCCCAAAGGGAGATACCCTTTCACTCTTGGATAGACTGAATCTGGGCAGTGCTATGTTCCTTACCTGTCTTAAATGCTTGGCCTATGTTTATCACGAGGTACCTAACCAGAAATGAAGTGTTGAATATTTAACAAAGATGTCATTTATCCCAAACATTCACTTGTTAGTGTAGACAAGTAGGTGCTAATAAGTACCAGAAAAACACCAATAGTTTAAATAGTATTAGCAAATATCCCTTTCTTCCTTAATTGGTGTATGCTACATAGGAATTCAATTTTGAATGTACAACCAAATGTCGCAAGTTGTTTCCAAGCCTTACTCTCTCCGAAATGAGACATCAAACTGTTGTCACCCAATCCTTTTTACTTCATTTTTTAGTTCAATACTTTGATCATTCCCCTCTGACATGGTTCCTGCTGTACCAGATTAGCTAGCAGCAAGTTGCTAGCTAGATGAAAAAAAACCTTTAATGGGGTCTGTTTAGTTCTTCATCTGTAAATCATTTATGTAAAGAAAGTGTAACTAAGTCACAAATTGGCAGATAATTTCTTAGATATTTGTGTTGCTTATGAAATTATTACCCACTATCCCTTCTGTCTGTTAAATGCTCTTTAGAATGTTAGTATAAACTTTTTTTTTTTTTTTTTTTTTTTTTTTTTTTTTTTTTATTTAAAAA